GTGTTGCAGCTAATAATATGCCTGGGGGAGAACAGCTCACTCCCGATTTAAAATTCCCCTTAATCTTGATAACAACTCCATGTGCAACATAAAAAAACAAAGCGGGACTGCTAAATTGCTACGGGATGCAAAGATAATCATTTGGGACGAAGCGTCAATGGCTAAGAGGCAGGCGGTGGAGGCGCTTGATCGAACAATGCAAGACATCACAGGGGTGACACTATCATTCGGTGGAAAAATAATGGTTATGGGAGGTGATTTTAGGCAGGTCTTACCGGTCGTGAGACGTGGAACCCGAGCACAGATTGTAGATTCAAGCCTACGAATGTCACCTCTTTGGTCTTCAATTAAAAAAATACGTTTAACTCTCAATATGAGAGCACGAAGTGATCCATGGTTTTCAGATTTTCTACTACGAGTGGGTGATGGAGATGAAGAAATGATGGAAGAAAGCTTTATACGTATTCCCGATGACATGACCATTGCCTATACTGATAAAGATAAATCAAAACATGATTTGATTGACGCAATATTTCCATCTCTGCAAATCAACGGAGCAGATTCAGACTATATTATTTCGAGGGCGATATTATCAACAAAAAATGAAAATGTTGATGAAATTAATGATCAGTTAAAACATGTTTAAAAAATACATTTTTATTTTAACAAGTTACACCATTATAATCGTCTCGTTAGTACCTTCAAAATGAGTCCAATATTGAATAGTTTTTGACTTAATTATATTATTATATATTATATACACTGTGAAAAAATATTTTTAATATTTACGATTTATACTTTTATAGTTATTGAAGAGTCTGAAATTAAACCTAAAGAGGAGATTGAGAGATGAAGAGCCTCAAGTTTAAACCCGAAATTGTTGAAAAATAAAATAATGCCAATAAATTAGAAAAAAGAAAAAAATGGGATACTAAACTTAGAAGATGCCACGTCATCTCTTCAAGTTTCTACTTTATATAGATATATATTTATTTATATATATACTATATATTTTGGGGTTAGGCTGTCTAAATTGCGCTGTATAATATGTTTTGAATTAGTATGTTTTTGGATTTTTTTTGAAATATATATACATGTATTAATTCAACCTTAATCTGAGTTTCTGGACAAGAAAAAGGGTAAACAATTGAAATTTCATTCTAAAACCCATCTTTTTTTGTCTTTTCATGGCTTATGATCTGTCAAATTTGTATTTTCTTTATTGGTTTTGAGTGTTTATCTTAAAACTCAAGTTTCTTGGTTCTTTGCTCTTGGTGTAAATCGAATACATTTGTGGAGTCGTTTATATTGGATTTTAATCCGTCATACAATTTTTTTCATCGATAGTCTGTAATTGGAACCATAACTCTTATTTATTCAAATTATATTAATATGTAAAGACCAAATGTAACTTATATCATCGTTAAATCTTATCTTATAAAACCAGTGGAACTTCAAAATCATTAAAATTCATGGCTCCCGCCACATTGCGCGGGTACACAACTAGTATATATATATATATATATATATATTGATCTATATTAACTTAATATATAAGTATTTTTTAATATGAAAATAACTAAAAAACCAAAAAGAACATGAAAGGTTTATTTGATTAATAATGACTTTCATCTGAAAATAATTTTAAAATATGCGAAAATATAAAACAATAAATCAAGGTTTTTTAACATGTCATATTATCTACTTATGATTCTATTTTATATAGATATAGATAAAAGGGTCGTTATTTAAAAACCAATAAAATTGTGATAAACTTGAGAATCGATACATCATGTATTATTTTACATAATCTTTTTTATATATACGACATGAATTTAATGTATTGATTAACATATATTAGTTTAATGATGTTTTTGTTTCACAATGTGAACACTTTTATGTGGTTGTGAAACAAAAAATACAACTAAAAAGTTTTTTCGATTGTGGACTAAATCCATATGAAACAAATACAATCTAAAGCAAATATATGTTAATTAATATATTAACCCCATGAGTTGTCAAAAGAGCCTTCTAACCTCGTTTAACAAACTCACCATTTTTTTACAATCTTTCAACCCTCAATCAATATGAGATATACAAAAACATAATTCAAGATTGAATATTATTCAATTCTTAGGGGACCATATCAACGATTTTGGTTCGTACTTTCAAAAATCGACTCGATCAATCCCCTTGCCCCTCATTTTTTGAGAATCATAAAGATTCTTTTCAAGTTTGAATTTGTTCATTTGAAATATGAGTTCTTCTACTTCATTTTTATTTACTTATTTTACTGATTTTTATTTAATATGAATATTTTTCCCTTCCTTTTTTATATTATTTCTTAAGTCCCATAGGTTTGATCCTTTAAAGTGGACTCATATTCTCACTGAGAGAAGAGTACGAAATAGATCAGATTGACTAAAAGCACTATGTAAAATATTCAGTTTTTTCTTCTTCCTCTATCCCATAGGTACAAAGTTTGAATCAATCGAGTACATTTTCTTCTGTTTTCAAAAACCAACCATAACGCAAAATTTTAAAATACATCACTTTCAAGATGTCATCTCAATATTTTAAAGTCATCTTTTCATGTGGAATAAGCAAACTTAACCACATTTCAAGATTTAAGAAATACTCAAATCTCATAATGTCAATTACAAATGAAAGGGTTGACTCATTTGAGCCAACAACATGACTTGCAACAAAAAAATCACCCCCTCTTTTCATATATATATACACATTTCATTCCTTCTACTTATTTCTTCCTACCAACGTGGGATAAACAAATGTAACCAAATTTCAAGATTTGAGCAATACTCAAATCCTACAATGCCAAATCATTCTATTTGGTTTCTCTTTTAAAATATATATATATATATATATATATATATATAGTTGGGTTCACATGAGACCAAAAGTTTTTCGTAAGATCCGTAAGACCAATTTATGTTCATTGATCAACTTTATAAGCTAATGATTTAATGGTCTAAATTTGTACGGTGGCAATTTTGTGATTACTGAGAAATCTCGTGACAATTTTGTGATTATAAATGTTCAGATTGTAGATCTAATCCAAGAGTTAAGAATTGGTCTTACGGGTCTCACGAAAAACCCTTGGTCTCACATGATCCCAAATGAAAACTGCCCTCATTTGTGTAAACTATGTAAACCAATCTCATCCATCCATTTTCTTGATCAATGGTCAACATTAGTTTAGATTATATTAGGAAATTAAAATAAATAAATAGATAAAAATTTATTTTATAATCCTTAGGGCAACTCCAACCTTCACACAAAAAAACACACCAAAAACACCAAATCTGGTAGGTCCATAAACACACACACAAAAAAAACTCAACTTCAATCACACTATAAAAAAAAAATTAGTGGACCCCACATTAAAATAACATATTTTATTTACTCTTTTTAATAACAATATTTATAATTTGTAATAGATATTATAATAATAAATTGTAACACCCCCAAACCACACATTGCATGTAACACATATTTCATATAAAAGAAATACATGATATCATCTCATTTAGGTCCCTTAGTACAAGAATCTAATATGACCAAATACAAGGTCCAAAAATTCTAATACATCACTTGTACTAATCAATCAAAACTATACATTAAAGCAGATCTTCGAGTAGAAATGCATATAGGAAACTATTAAATCTTCCCCTTTCCCTTACTCTCCGTACCTCCTGCAACACATAGTTAAAATCACAAAACGAGTGTTAGACCGAAGGGTCTAGTGAGATACCCTATTTATGTTATTGCAGGGTAAAAATCACCAAAAACCTTTATGGAAAACAATTATTCATATATATAACAAATATATGAACAAATAAGAACTCAATACCAGACTTCTTCCATATTTCAAGCAAAGCTTTCACTTATACAAATCTCATACCTCTGAATCAAACAGGTTTCAT